CAGCTTACATCTCTTACCAAAAAAGCTTAAAAGCTACTAAGAGATTTCAGATAAAGTAGTGCAGAGAATGCAGCAGAAGGGATTTTACCAGCAAAACCCACCATAGCCCAGCATTCCCACAGCCCCAAAGCTGTTATCATGGAAAATACCCATCCCAGCCATGCAGTACTCCAAAGATCCATACATACAGTAAGAGTAGCCTATTCTTCCTATAAGCACCCTGTTGGAAGTCCTATTGCATCCTCACATCTAGTCCAGCTCCAAGCATCATCTAACCTTGACATCTGGCTGCCCTGTTCTCCACTATTCTGCAGCAGAACCAGCTGGGGAAGCAAAGGGCAGCTCCCGCTGAGAGAGGTCTGCGTTTGTAAGTCATCTTAAACCATTTTAATTCATATCTTATTTGCTTTCCATGCATCTTGGACTCAAGTCGAACCAGGATCTCACTCACTGAATTTTCTTTTTACTTCTTCTTACACTACATTTTCAACCTTCCTATCAGTCCTCAGCATTTCAATAAATATGAATAATCTCAAATTAGTTCTCTCATCTGTAATAGCAACAACTACTTAGAGGAACACTGAGAGGATTAATTTTGAAGTACTCTGAAATGTCAAGTGCTTATTAATTATAAGTTAATTGAAGTAAGAATTATACTTTGGTAAATAATAATAAATTAACATAGCTGATGGGCAAGAGGGAAGAAGCAGAATTTGAATAACATTGGTAAGACTTATGATTTTAACAAGCATTTTGAAGAAACAAAGTCTGACCGACGTTCAGGAAAATCAATATATAATTTCAATGTAACTTTGCTCTTCCAGTTTCAGCTTTAAGTATTTTAACATATTAAGGATTTGTTCTTCTCTTAATATATGAATGCAACCAAGAGTAATAATATTTAAGGTTAGATATTTTCAGGTCAAATAATAAGAAACCTGGGTTTTTACTAGATTTCTTAAAAAAATAATGTGAAATATGTTTCATTTATAAGGTAAATTGTTATTCTATTGTTTTACAATTCCATGTAGATGTGAAGAATGATAAAAATATAATTATTTTTGGTAATACAGATTATTTGAGTTTATTTTACTTTCTATGTCAGGTCATGACAATTAATTTCAGGCGGTGGACTACCACTACTTTGGGGGAAAATTGCTCTCATCTCTGTTGGCTTTTAAAATTCTAAAATTCTAAAAAAAAACCATAAACAATTCTTAGACATACGATTAAGCTTCCTAAAATATGCAATATGAGGAAGAAAGGAAATACAGTGCCTATATTTTATAATCATTTATTATTTTACATGAATGAGCCTTTAACTGACTAAGTTCTGCTTGTTTAGAACACACGTCAATCGAATGCCAACAAAAACAAATGTTGCCTTTTTCCCCTTCTGTTTAGCTTAGTTTAGGACTGCAAAATAAGAGCAGTAATACCCTTTTAATTCATTCAATGGTTAAAATAATCCCTCCTCTCTTATAAAACATTACTAGTAATTAGTTCTAAGCACCTTACCAAAGGCTAAATGAACAGCACTAGAGTGAAGGAGAGTTACACAGCTTGTTTTCAGCGCAACTTTTCCCGAGGATTTTCATGGTTTCTGGTGTGTATGAATCATGCATCCACAGTGAGGGCTGTAAGGTCCACGGTCAACGCTTTAAATTACAGCTTCTTCTGCACTGAAGAAAACAACAAGTAATATCTCAAATGTTATACTTATTTCCTCGATAAAGATCGTCTGCTTTATTTCCTAAGCATCCTGTCGAAAATCCGTGCCTGCCTGGTGTAATGCGTGATCTAATCAGAGAAGTAACATGACATAAAAGCCTATTTCCTCCGTGACAAATATAAATTGCCTCGTGATTTTGGGAAGAATGAACACAATGGTTAACCAAAGCATAAGTGACACCAGGAGATTAATGCTGTACTCCCCATGCATGATGGCCTCACCATCATAGTATAAAAATCAAATGCAACTTGTGAGAAATTACTAGAAACCGTTTAACCTGAAGGCTACATAAGTTGTCTTCTGAAATGATGGCTCTAATAAGACCCTAGATAACGCTCTGTGGAAAGGGCTTGGTAGAAAAGTTTCTGATGCTTCATATCAGAGACACTTGTTCCAGCCCCGTTTTGCTCATCCTAGACATCAGCCTTCCCTGTAAGGGGGATGGAGAAAATACATGTGAGGTTCAGCTTCTCACTTCATCTCTCTTTAGCCTTGGACAAAGTGACAGCACCACACGCTCACTGGTTCATTAAACCTGCACGCAACCTCTATTCTGCTCACCATTTACACTGCTATAGCTTGGTGGTTGTAGATTAAGGACCAAACAGCACACACAGAGCATGCTGTGCACATGGACACGAGCCACACAAGGGGCCTGCAACATTATAAAGTTATATTCAATGAAAGCAGCATCCTGCTTTCATTGGACCCAAGGGGGTCCTTCCCCCTTGGATATTACAACATTCAAAATAATCTCTTTGTCGGGAATTTAACCCAACCTCTTCAGCACCAGCCCACAGGGAAGATTTTTCTGAATAGAAACCGAGGCAAAGTTATTTATTCATAGGCCTGAATTTTAATAGCGCTCATAAATCCTAATAATTGATTAGGACCTATTGTGCAAAGCCCTGCACACACTGCACCAAGCAGAGCCTCTCTCTCACAGAGTAGTTAGTAATTTATGGATTAGAGGGATACAGACAGGGTTACTCAAGAAAACACATCTCTGGACAGCAGTCAGAGCTCTCTGTGCCCTGCTGCTAATCGCTGGTCATTTGCCATTGGCATCCTTGCAATAGACACACTAATGAGACTCCTGAAGAAGGCTCAGCAAGTCCATTCCTATAGTAATTATATATAAAATAACTATAAATATAATAACTATAACTATAAATACACAAAAAACTATAAATACACAAAATATATTATTATTTACTAACATAGTAATTCAAATTAAAGATGCACGCACAAACCCTACCAAGAAAAGCAAAGCCACAGCAAAAGCCAGTGTCTACAGAAATGTTTTTAGTTGTAATAGTTCTTTGCTTGCCGATTGCTGCATGTCTTGGGAAGCAGCAGCGCTTCCCAAAGATGAGATCTTTGGGACATGCAGCTTCCTATCAACACTCCTACCTCTAGGAAAGACAGGCTGGAATGAGAGGGGCTCTGAGATCACTAGGTTAATCTTTTCTACTTCTTCTACTTCACTAGATCAGTCTTCTAATCTGGACTTCTAAGTGTGAAAGTCCTGGTAGAGTTAATGGGTTTTAGCTATTAAGCAGGAAACTGCCTTTCCAGCTATCTAAATTTAGCAGAAAGCATTGAGCTCATTTGGCTAATATTACACTAAAAGAAACCAGCTCTGCATCCACAGTTTTTAACGTGGAGAAATAGGAGCAGGAGAAAAGCTGGATGAGGATCAAATGAACCCAAGTCTTTAATGGCAATGACCAAGCCACCTATTTCTAACTGACATAATTGCTAAATGTGACTTTTTCTACTACTCAGTGTAGTTCTTGGAGAGTTCTGCCTTATAATTAACCACAAAGAATAACTTCTCATATTGCATAATAAATCAGATTTCTGCCTTCATCCCCAGGAATCAGTATTTTTACTCTGCATTTCCAAAGCTTAGACAAGATATGGTAACTAAATTATTTTTATAAGTAAATCTATATGAAATACTACAGAAACAAAGATTCTCTCCTGCTTTGCTCTATTTTTTCAAACTTGCCTAACCTCTCTTCAGTCACACTACAGTAAGGGCAGATCAAAGGACTATATAGTCTAGTCTCACCACAAAGCAAGATGCAGCTGAGCAGGCAAAAGCCCACATTCATGGCTTAATGGGATTCAAGAAGAAAAATGTCTAAACTGAATAACCAGTAAGATATTCTTGGCTTATTTAACTCACAAGATAAGGTTGCTAATGCCCGACCACCAGACGATTTATTTTCTGCACATGACATCAGCTTTAGAAATTTAAACCATCAAAACTTACTCTGGATGATATTCAAAACAGCACCTGATATTGAATGAAGTACATTACATAAAGAAACACAGAAAAAATAGTGAAATATACTTTTATATACATTCTTTCTGGTATTCAGCTGGACTATTTCTTCTACCAGTCCAATATTTACCACTCTAGGAAATAAATGGTATGTGAATCTGGTTTATATTTCTAATTCCATTATTTTAATAAACCAACCTGTTCTAGACTTCCCTGGTAATCTTAACTTTAATAATCTTTGCATCAGCACTGACGCTCAAAATGTCACCTGATGGTTAATGATAATTAAATTCAATTCCCCATAGTAATTTACAATATCCCAGTACCTTCAGAGTTGCTTTTATCATGGCAAAAAATGATGGCAATAGGGATACAGATGCTCTTTCCTCCAAAATTCTATATTTGACTGGTAGGTGAGAACTAGAGTTTAAGTAAAAGCTTCACACTTCCAAGTGTTAACTTAATCAAGCTTAATGCTTGCATCTAGAAGCTGTTCTTAGTGTACTTGAGCAAAAAGCACAAACATATGAGATGTGGAGTAGAGACATAGCAAAACATCCTGCATCTTCCACACAGCATCTGCACCTTGCTTAAGTAAAGCTAAAAAGCACATAGGCAGCACAGGGGCTGGCAAGCAATAAGGGGAAAGAATGCATAGGAGTATCGTGTATTTTTCAAACTTATGTACTTAGTAATTATAATTTGGTTCTCTTCCCTCTGAGGGGGGGAAAAATGTTGCAAATTAAGAAGTTCGTAACAGTTCTTGCCTTTTTTTAAAAAAAAATGGTGGCAGTATAAATCACTATTTAGATTAATATAATAGTGAGTGTGTCCCATGCCATGAGTTATGACTACTGCAGCACAAGTCACGTTCCTTGTTTTTGTTGCCAGTATAACAGATGGGAGACAATAGGGGACATTGAGGGACAGATGATGGACTTTGAACCCTAGGAAATACTTCAGTTTCCATCCCATGAATTATGATTTTCTGCTTGTACTGCTGTAGTTCCTTCAAGGCCCAGTCTATTACGTTCCACCTAAATGAAGAGATATTGCTCTACTAAATTTTGTCAGCAAAAAAAAGGTGTACTCAGTTCTTGCAAATGCATAATGTGGTTAACAGCAGCAGATATCTTTATGAGACCAAGATCAAAGCAAAGAATAGGACTTAACTCCATAACAGGAGAAAGCAAACAAACAAACAAACCCACACAAATAATCAGAATATTTTAGAATATTTAGAAATGTCATTTATAAGAATTATATCAAGTTGGAAGGAGTTTCCCATTTCAAAAAGGGAAGAGAGATTTTCAAGAGGGAAAGAAAAAGCATAGCTTCTTCCTTAGCAATGTGGACAATATTCAGTGATAAGCGACAGGAGAGCACAGCAGATGCTGACTTCCAGCACCATTTGATCCTTTGGTATGGACAAAGTAACTATTTTCTTACTTGCCTAGAGCTGTTAAAAAGATTGATTCTATACAAGACAAAGTAAGAAGGAAAATACTCTGTATTGAAATTTAGGTTTTGTTTCGGTATTTAAAATACAGAACACCCAGGCTAAGTAAAGGGAAAAGGAAAAGCTTCTCAAAGTCCAACTAACAACAGTGGTAGACTCATTTATAGAAATTCTCTCCATTCCTTGTTTCTGAACAAAATCTAATCTTAATAGAACTAGCTGAATAACTAGCTTTTCTCCCCAGTGAAGACTATTTACTGAGGAGTAAGGTTACAAAACATAAGATGAATGCAGAACAGACTGATTATGTTCAGAAGACCATACACCAGAAATACAGCATCACCTTCACGTTCTCTTTAGAGGGTCTTTTCTTGTGGTACTCTTCAGAAATTGGGTTGTACGGATTGTGAGAGAGCTGCCATCAACAAACTTGCCATTCCTGCTATTGTCCCCTGATGATTTCCTCCTGTTGCCATCTCTAGCAAATGAATAATCATCAGGAGGAATACAGGAGCATTTTATGGGACTTCTTAGATCTGCACTTCAGTTTCTCCCTCTAGATATACCAATAAAGGACATGGTTCTCAATAAGCTGACAGTTATCAACTGGATATTTGGAGCATGTTAAGACCAATAGAGGCAATATTACATGTCAAAAATCATATTTCTGCCACTTGTGCAGTTTTCATGCAAGAAGAACTTGGTGCAGAAGCACTTGAGTATCTTTCACTCCCATTCCCCCCTACTCCACATTTATTGAATAGCAGGCCTCTGTAGCTGGAGATCTTTCCCCTGATTTTCCAGAAATCATGGCACAAATTGAGAATAATTTGGTAAGAAAATAACTGATACCTGGGCTTAAAGGAGCTGTAAGTTCCTGGTTCACTTCTGTGCTTTTGTCTGGCGCTCTGACCATCCACGCTGTCTTGCAAGTTGTTGGCAATAATTAAGGTTAACTCAATCTTCTTACCTTTAATGGAGAGAGAATGGAGAGAGAATGGAGAGAGAGAGAGAGAGAATGGAGAGAGAGAGAGAGAGAATGGAGAGAGAGAGAGAGAGAGAGAGAGAGAGAGAGAGAGAGAGAGAGAGAGAGAGAAAACAAACAAACAAACAAAAAACACCTCCCTAGGTGCAACATCAGCAGAGCAGTAACAGTCCTCCAACACCCTGCAAGAAAGAGCAGGCTTCCTAGGAAGCAGCTTAAATGCAAAGGTATTGCATGCAGCCTGGGGGCTTGACAGGTGCCTACAATTGTGCTAATGCACCTTGGTAGTTGCCACTGTTAAGAAAACATGTCAAAAGGACCTCAAACCAGGTCCTCTGACCCCCCTGGAGTCAAATATGCCTCTTCTATTTCTCAAGTCATTAACAACATTGCCAAACCCTAAAGATTTGGTTTAAACATGATGACACACTGTGTTCCAGTTCAGGAAATCTTGCTCACGCTTGTGTGTTGCACTTGATTCTTACAAACAGTTTATTTTCCTGCTTGAGATAATTAATGTTATATTTGCAGTAGAGATAGAAAACATTATGCAGCACTTGATCAACAATGTGAAGTGACAGTATCAACACCCACTCAAAGTATCTTTTTTCCAGACTTGAGAGGGTTTTTTTTCTGGTCATAATAACCCGTTTGTTTAGATTTCTCTAGCTCAGTGCTTCAGCAAACACTGTGATATCCAGGCTTTCTATTAACCATGGAAATCTGTCTGGAGCTGTGGTTGACACGTCTTGTTTCCTACATTTTCGCAGCTAACAAATGTGCAGAAGCCAAGTCAAATTCAATGTCTCCCAGAGAACAACATCCTAAGAGGCTTTTCCAGACACGCTTCAGAGCCCCAGTGAAGAAATCTCCTGAAAACACCAACATTTGCTTACCCTTAAGAGCAGTCTGTACCACACAGAGAATATATTTTAAACTCTCCCCTCTTCGCTTCTGAGCATGCATGGGTAAGAGCCAAAATTGAAAATATTCACACATGTTGTTTTATTCACTGCAGCAGCAAACCTAACATAGGCAGAGCTAAGTAAATGTTCATTTAATGCAGCTCAGGTGACAGCACATTGCAGTAAGGCAGGGAGAAAGGAGAGCTTGCACTGCATTTACAGACATACAAACACAAAGGATTTCTATTAGCACCTAGGGAAGGATGATGACCTCTTGCAAATAGATCCCTAAACACATTTCTTTATCATGGAGGTGGGGAGAACCCTTATAGCTTTTCAGCACTAGGCTTGCAGCACACAGCTACGTGAAAGCCCCAGGAAAAGTTGTGCAAATTCCACCCAAGAGTCATTCAGGCTTTTGCTTGGTTGTTTATTTGGTTTTTTTTTTAATTCTAAATAATTTTCTCCCTGAACATGTTCACCTGCATGTTTTGATGAATTTTCTTCATTAATCATGTCAGAAAATGCTGAATAGAAGTCTTTACTGTTGCTTTTTAAGAAACATTGAAACAAAAAAACTTTTTTCTTATGATGAAGTTACCTCCCTGTATTAAATGGCTGCACTCATAAAGCATAATGCCCATTAGTCTGCAAAGTTTATGTGAAAATAAAACCAAGTGCAAAGCAACCACAGAAATCTAAAGAAGTTTGGAAACATAGAGGTTGCACTGATAATGCAGCTGACTGCTATATCATAAACTATTTTAGATAGATATTATAGTAATATTCAAAGCAGACACATGAAAACATTACAGTGTGTGAGAGGAGGAAGAATTGACAAGATGAATACATGTTTTTCAAGCTACTTTATAGCACAGCTGTTAATCTTTTTTTATGGAATATGAACAAATTTAATTTCTGTATCTTAAACAAATGAATTTCCCATAAAGTGTCACTAATAAAGTATCAGTGTAATAAAACATAATTTTGAAAGCTAACTTTCTTTTTTCTTTCTCTCAATTTTTTAATGTATCTATCACAAGCTTAGATAAAAAGTCCATTACTCTAGAATATGCAGTCGTAATCAATAAATTCCATACATTTTCTTAAAGAGCTAGTTGCTTTACTGGGCTAAGACAAGACATATGTACAGGAGGTGAAATCAAAGCTATGCCTGTACACGAGGAGTGATGCAGATACATCTGTCTGACCCACTACAAATAGCAGCGGAGTAGTAGTGCTCCAGCTGTGCAGGTGAGTTAATCCCCAAAAGAACTTGAACATTTTTCTTTGAAAAATTTGTAAGGTTTTTTTTTTTTTCTGTTAGATAACATTCTAATAGTTAAAGCACTCACCCTGGGATATCTGGTCTCAATCCCTCCTTTGATGGGAACTCATATCTACACCTCCTTCTCTCATCTAGAGAGAATGCCCTAACTTCCCAGCATGGATATCCCTTCCCACGTTTCATAGCTGTGATAACAAGTAGGAAGAAATTCAAAATCCAGTTGTCTCCCAAAAATGAGCATCAGAGAAAACGTCCACGCCTCCAATAGTCATAACAAAATCATCCCAAATTGTTCCTCTCTAAGCAGGATCCTCAGGTCAGTGTCATTAAGATCCTTCCAATGACTAAAGACCCCTTGCTGGGACCCTACTGACTTGTAACCAAATACGCTGTAAATGACCCAACCATCCAACCCCTCGGTCTACAGATTTTGATTTCACATTTTGAAACCTTTTTCTGTCTCCAAGCTGCCATGAATAACTTGCCCCAACAGGAAGTATCGCCCTCCATGTGAAATGGGATACGGTCAAAATTGTGGCTCATGCAAAATAATTTTCTGAGATTTCTCAGACTATTCATACAGTCCTTCCAATTTCTACTGGATAATTTATATTGCCGGACATACGCAACTGTTCCTGCACAAACTATCTCTGTATCAGTTTGTATTAAGTTTATTGAGATGTGTTAATACACCCTGACCTCTTTACCCAGTCAAATGGGTGTCAGAAGAGTGATGCCTCAAACCTGTAACTGAGATGAATGTATTGCTAGACAGATGTTTCATTTATTACTACCTTTCCTATCTGGATGACTGAGATAAAAGTATTTAATTTTTTTTTCCTTTTTTCTTTTTTTTTTTTTTAAATAAATGCGCACCTGCCTTTTACTTACATTACTAAGAACAACAGCACTTTGTGGGCTTTCTCCAGACTTCCCTATCATCAAAACTAGTCATTCTTTGGTATTTAGTGTTTATTTTCAGGTCTCATTCTGTCCTATTAATAAGTCATATTGTCCTTCATTTGAGCTCTTTACTAAGAGAACCATTGGTCTCTCATTGCCTGGAAACCCCAAAGATAGTTCCCACCTAGTAGTTGGGTTTTGCTTCCTAAGAAGCATCAATCTTTTTCTTCCATTCTCTGACTTGTCTTTAGGTGAACACTTCCTCATCCTTCCTCTCATGACAGCTTCCCCTGTCTGAAGAAATCCCTGGGCTTGCTGAGGAGAGGAGACGCTGGGGCTTTGTCTACTGCCAGAACAGCTCGTGCTTCTCTGTGCACTTAAGTCTTTCTTCATGCTAATCCTTCTCTTGTCCTCCAAAGTATAAACACACCAGAAAAATCAGGAACAAGAAGGTTGTCTACTCCAGTGTCACTATGTGTAGTCAGGAAATAAAAGGCTGCCTTCGTGCAGATCTTCTCCTTCCTTTCTCAGCTTTCTGCATCTCATCCTCTTCAGTCAATCAATCATCCATAGGCCAATTTCTATCTCCTTTTCCAAAAATACATTCCCTTCCTTTATCAGCCTACTCGAGCTGAAAATAGGATTAAGCACCTCCAAAGCTTATTCATAAGGATAAAGCAACCATGTTGCAAGAAATCCCTTTGCTCTTTAAAGAAATAAACTCCAGAGTGCCAGTAAAAGGCTGACTTTCCTTCAAGGGCCTTTAGTTTACCATCTAGACATCTAAGTTATTTTGCTGTAACAAGGTGAGATAAACTGAATGCTGCTCAAATTACAGTGCATACTCAAATCAATAGACCTTTGTACAGTGCTCAGAAAAACTGTAAATTACAGCCCATAACTTTATTGTTAATAATATTGACCGCTCCTTTCTCCTTCTCGCTGTGCTCTCAGTCAAGTATTACTCCAAACATCTTATTTTTGTTCCAGTCTCCAGAGCCCCAGATGTTTCTTTTGCTGGAATATTTCATAGCACATTAGCAGAGAAATTATTACCTTTCCTTATGGTTCCTTAGCATTAAAATTCTCTTCCTTTCCTCCTCTTTTTCACTCAGTGCAATACTGAGAGTCCCGACATCTTTGGAGCAATTAAAATCCCTTCCTAAATGCAAGTGGCCCTTATACACAGGAATTACTTATGGAGTTGAATTTGCCTACCTACCTATCTTGTTTCCTCCATGATCTCCTTTTACATAAAAATCTTTGTCTTTCACCCTAAAAATAATAATTATCTAATCAAACAATTCAGCTCCTTCCTATAATTATTAGACTTGCAGCTATTGCAGAATACTGTGGTAGTTTGAACCTGCAGGTAAAACTGAAAAGAAATTGTGACTGAAATTATGGGAAAACTATGTAAAGAAATTGTGACCTGTCAATTCCCTGTTGCTTTACATTCCAAGATTTTGGCCTCACTGATAATGAGCAGTTATGAATACATTATTGGATGTTCAGTTAATCACATCTTTAAAAATAAATTCCCTCTATAAGCTTTAGCTGTCACCACTCAGATGTTAAGACAGCAAGTTCGGAATTCCATTAAACATCCTTAATGGACTTCCCTCAGATCCACTATATATTCTTTATATATGGACATATATATATTTTTGTGTGTCCTTTTCCTTTCCCTTCAAAATATGACCTGCATCTGGCAAATATTATAACTTCAATAACTTTGGGTCTTATTTTTAGATTCCTTTCCCTAGCACAATCTTGTTTTTTCTTCACTGACTATTCTTTATCTTTGAAAATTCTAGTTCAATCAGATCTTTTGCTGCTCATCTTTTAAAAACAGATAAAATTATCTTTTAGCAATGCTTACCTTCTCCCACAAATGTCAATGCCTATTTTTAAAGGCATGACTGTTTTCTTTGTTGACTTGTTTATATACTTGAAATATAACCCTGTCGAAAGTCCCTTTCCTTTAATACTGAAGCTTTATGTTTCCTACCATCTAGCAGACTATTTACTCACTACCCATGCCAGATTTCCACTCCTCTTCTCTACCTGGACAATAGCTTAAATAAAACCACTACAAATCTGTCATTTTCACAAAAACAGACAGAAACATCATAAGTCTTTCTTTTTCTTTCTTTTTTTTCTTTTTTTTAATTACAATATGCACGTTCTTACAAGCTGACCAAGGTCTCTTTCCTAAATGGCAATGTAATTTTAAACATGTACTCACAAATCTCTAGCATGAATAGGGTTTCTTTTGGAGGTGTGGGGTACTTCCTTCTATTCTCTGCAATAAAGTTCTTTTGTTTGGCTTTGTTTTTCATTTAAGTTACATAACTAAAACACCTTGCCATTTTGGAGTGCTTTGCACATCAAGTCTCTGCTCTGTGCCTGTTGACAGCAAGACAGAAGGTGGCACTGAATAAAATCAAGACATCTTAATTACTACCAAAGCTCAATTATCTGCTACCAAGGTAATTTTTAAAGGCTTGAATTGTCTATGTGGGAAACTTGTTAATTTTAACTGAATCATTAAATTTACTGTTTGGAAATTAAATTCAGTGCAACTAAATGATTGCTCTTAAAAATACTTATAAGGTGGCAAGTCTCAGATCACTAGAGAGGTTTCTGCTTCACAATGATGAATCAGTCCTGAAAAAGTCATACTTTCTGTTGATGGTTTGTAGATACCAGCTTGAATCAAGACCATGACTTTTCCCAAAAGTTTGCATATTGATTGAAATTTTGCAACTTATCCCCAAATTTAACTTTTTGTGTTAAACCCAGTTATCTGAGTGTACTATATTTCTTAATATTCATTAAATTAAACCTAGCTTAGAAATTCGAAATTAAGAATGTAAATTTTAGATGAAAAACTAAATATAGTAAATTATATATACAAATATGAGTATAATTACATTCAAACTTAATAAACCAAAGTTCAAAAGGTTAAGTACAGTACGTTTAAAGTACACTATTAAGAAATGTTGATTACTGTTCTTACGATCTAGAAGGAAGGGAAGAAAATGGGAAAACAAAACTTCCAGCAGCCAGGAAACCAACTGAGAGACTCTATTTACTATTCATAATATCACTGAGAAAGAATGTACAAGTGTTGAAATCCACTAAATGCCATTACATGGAAAATAATTGTTTTTTTAATGTAAACAATCTAGGTATACGTATTTTAAGGTGAATATCCACTGTTCGGATACAAGATGAAGTTTCTTAAAATTCGTCTTGAAAATAAAGTCTTTTCTTCTATAACATTAATATTCAGTTACATCTGCTCTTACATCTTTTACCTATGGTGCATTTTAATACTTTTTCTTAACTGCTACCCTTACATTCCAGAGGAAAGTTCTCCCCTTTCATTACAGAAATACTTGCTCTTTGGAGAAAGGAGCAGAAATTTTGAAGACAAAAAGGACAACTGAGCAATACAATAATTCACTCCTCAAGCTCCCTTCTACCCCTCCTGTCCATCCTTCTCATCCTCAGGTGGAAATTTATTCCCCAGTAAAACTCAAAGCAAGAACAGAAGAATTAGCATTGATAATAGGTAGGAATATTTTAGTATATCCAGATTGAAGGAACAGATTTTTCCACAGTCTGGACAATAAAGTCATGGAACTTCTTCAGATAAATCAGCATTTGATTGATGTTCATTTTACAGAGGTCAAAAACACGCCTGAGACACATATCAATGAGGTTTCTCCAAATCTTTGAACACGAGATCACTTGTACTGCTCAAATAGAAGCAAACTCATAAATCTTTCAAGGTGAGATTTGATAACTGCCTTACTAGATTATGTAGACGTAGACGTGTCATCAGTCAACCCATAAGCGGGAAGCAACAGAACTCATCTTTGGAGCTCTTTTTTTCCCCCTCCTTGATGCCTGTGAAAATTCTTTGTTCGTATATATACACCTTGTCTCTGGCATTTTGATGCCTTTTAATCACAGATATTGGAAACAGTTCCAGCACTGATGCTGTGTCTTGTAATGGAGAAAGGGTTTTGCTCTGCAAATAGGAGTTAACCAGCCCCACGTGGGTGTCACTCCTGCTCTTCAGTGGGAGACACCAGCTCCCCTTCCTCTCCCGGGGAAGCAGGATGCAGCTGAAGGGATGTTCCGCCCGCGCTGAGCCATGTCCCTCCTGTTGCCTTCCAATGTGGTTTTGTTCCGTAGCTTTGATTTCTGCAATTGCTTTATGTTGTGTTCAGCTAAACCAAACAAAACCCCGCAGCCTGCCCCTGGTTGTCAGCGCTGCCCTCCCCTCTCATGGTGCCCATCAAGGGATTACTCAGTGTTCGTAAAACCAGCAGAGCTCTACATGAAATTGCCTCAAGATGCGAGGAAGATGAAGGCAAGAGAAGTGTTGAGTTGCATCTAGGAGGTGTTTCCCAAAATCCCCTTTGAGGGCAGCAGCCCTGCTCTCCAGCTCCTTGGTGCTGTCCAGTTCTTCTTGGTACTGTCAGCCCAGACTGATGGTGATGGGCAATGAGAAAGGGGACTGAGCTGCAGAATCAGTTTATGACAAAGAGCTGAACGTGTCCCAAGCAGAAACAGGAAAATGGCCACACAGGAGAAGTCTCTTCAGGATCTCTTAAGCCACACAGATCTGCGGTTACAACACGGCTCATTCTTCCCACTGTGCACAGTATTTTAAAATCCATATTCCACAAGGGCTACAGATTGGGGAAAAAAAATAAAAAATGTTTGACACACACCAGTCAAGTGTGAAAGTAACCTTTAGCTTTAATGGTTTATTCAGGAACCATCCTGGTGGTTTTAATTAGCTAATGCTTCACTAAGATCTGCAGTCCCCCAAAAGAACAAAATAGTTCCATAAAACTGTTTTAATTTCTCTAGTTTCAATGTTGCACACAATCTCCCTTTCTACATCCCAACTGTAATTAGCACAGCTAATTACTGAAGCTGTATGGATGATTGTCGCGGTTGTTACAATAAGTACATTTAGTGGAGTTCTAAGTACAATACTGATATTACAGAATTTATTATGGAGTGACAGTGAGAAAAAGAGGGAGTCGGTGCCACTGGATACTCAATGGGACTCAGAAAAGAAAAAAAAAAGAGAGATTCTTATGGCAATAGCACAGCTCTGCAAACAACTGAAGTGCCTGAGAAAATCTGTTACACAAAAATCTGTGCACTGGAAAAATTGTTTATTTATTTGTGGGGGTTTCTTGCTTTTAGCAAACCATAAATTAAAACAATTCTGGTGAAAGTGAGCAAAAATGTATCAATGCAATAAATAAAAATGAAAAAAAAAGCCTATAAAACACATTAACCGCATTATTTCCTGATGGACTTTAAAGTCCAAAGCATATTAAAAGACATTTCACATCTTTGACATTTGATAAGACAGTTCCAAAGATGTGAAACCCCTTTTTAGTAAGATTTGGACATGAACAGCAATATTTCCAGAAAGTAAGATTATAACCTGAATTTATAGAACCTCAAATCATTTTAGAACTTGTCAAGCAGACAAAATCACTAATGCCTCCCCAGACCTGCATGAGCTGGGGAGACAGTGACCTCTCCAAATTGCCTTTCATAGATCAACAGTAATTTAAGATAAATATTATTTAGAAATATAATGGAATATTTCATACTTTTTTTTGCATCTTTTTAATACATCTCTATCTTACAAAATATACCCAAAAGAAGCAAATGTATGTACCTATCTATGTATCTATATATTTAAATGAAAACAGAATAAAACAAAGAATTTAACAGGTAGAACTGCCTATTGTAGTCATCACACTATGAGAATAATAAAGCAGAGATATTCAGTTTCTGACCTCCGAACTCATTTTTTTCTTAGAATATTAAACATTTTCAGAACACGACCTTGGGAAGGGGCGCACACGTTTCAACCTCGGTGTTTCAGTGACCACGAATAACAGTCTCACCTGGATGCCTGAGGTTGTACCAGCCCTTGCTGCAGGGTGAGCTGCTCCTTGGGTTACCTGCAGCCCAATATCCCCCAAAGTCACCAGAAAAGTGACAACAGCAGCTCATTTCCACAGCAGGGTGGCACAACCTGCCAAGCTGTCACATTGCAGGAATAAACCTAGCTTCGTATTTGCATTACGGTCCATGCCATCCCTTTCTATTCACTTTTGTATGATACTTGGTATTGCTTTTTATCTCATTATATTGCTTTTGTATCAAGTTTTTATACAAGCAGCCTTCTTCAAGAAGCAGAGGAAGCCACGCTTTAAAGGAGATCCATTAACAGGGAATATATGTGTGGTTACAGACATATCAAGCAAGCTGCTGACTTGTTATCACAAGTTTTAGGGTTAATTAATTTCCCTCGCAAAATATTAAGTATTTTTTGATCTGCAGGGTGCAAGATTTACTAATTTTACCCTGTAGGATAACAAAGCTAGGATAACAATCAAGCATTACTAAATTCACAGGTGCAGGTTGCTGTTGAAACATTCTAATCTATATATAATTTGTGAAACATGAAAAAAATCCCACCGTATGCAGATACATGAAGTTTTAGTGCAAAAGAAACAGAACGTGACCGAAATATATGTCATTACTGAGACCAAAAAAAATGCATAGATTCTTGGAAATAATCCCTTACAAAATATTAGAAGTACCTAGTGCAAGTTGAACTTCTGTTAATACTCCCATTTGCTCAAGAGTTCCTAACGCGAGCAAGAATTTTACCAATAAGTTTAATGAGAAAGTCCATTCCTCCTCTCCCTCTATTTGGAGAATTCTCTGCAATTCAGTGGTGTTCTGCAGAGAGACAGTTTGGGTTCTTCAGACAGGACCAGCATCCTGTAACTGTCACCATGAAAGAGTAATAACCTAATTCTCTCAGGTGTTACTAATCTAATGATAAATACGCCAACGCAGCACCATATTTGCTTTCAGAAGAGAAGAAATAGCAAATCTGAAAAGGGAGACAATTCTGCTATAGGAGACGCAAAGAGACATATCCATTCCTCAAACAGAATGTAAACATATGAATTTGAAAAGATTTGGATTGCTACTCGTGTAGCTCAAATAATGAATTTCTACACAGCCACTGCTTTTCCGTCTGATTGCATAAGTTTTTCAAACAACAAGAGAAACACTAAAATGGGTTACTTTAGCTAGTGTTGCGTTGCCAAACTTCCTTTACTATTGCATCTGAGAAGCTGCTTTGATGAGCTAGTCATTTTAAGGCCACATTAAAGAAGGGAGAATGACATTTTAGGAGCTGGCAGCAGTTTGCACAGATAAACTATGGATTCAGAGGGAGTAAATGTGCTCTGCCTCGTTATTTTTGATGCTAACTCCTTTCTATATTTATCAGACTCTATGACAATGCGTGTTGTTCACTTCCCAGTACCTTCCTCTGCTTCAAAGCCCCCAAAACAACATCTTGCTGTAATAGATTAATAGAAAACTGTAGAAACAGCAATATTTTTCTGGAGTGTCACAACTTTCTCAGACGGTTGTGATTAGCTCTATCTCCCCAGCGTGTTATAGTATATATTGTTTGAGCAATTGATCTTAGTACCAGGAGATACGTGAATTTTTCTGCTGTGGTCTGATTTTCCCCCCCCTGTTTTTTAGTTCTTTTGGCTCAATAAGCATCTTTCTCTGCAAGGCCCAATCAGAGCTTCCCTCAAAAGGCAAAGCTCCTATTGTGCTTATTGCGAATTTGATTTGATTTTTGAAAATCATGCAAATGCATTTGACACAGTGCTCATTCCTTTCATTTTCCTGGTGACAGACAAACTGTAACACATTGCTGTTTGCATAAGGAAACTTCTTTTCTTTTTTTCTGATTATTACAATAAATAACATTCTCACCAGTTGTAAGGGTGAACTGTCAAATTGACAGCAAACAGAGACACCATTTAAATCTCGCTGTTCTTGAGCATTATCTGTTTATTTTGTGGAAGCAAATACAGGCAGGTTAGGCCAGCTGCCTAATTCTACATAATTTTTCCTGCCTACTGTGGTTTTTATAAATTGAGTTATGAAACCCAGACTTGCATCTTTTCCTATCGGATCAATAGCCTGCCTAGGTCAAAGAGTTTTTCCAATGACAAAAGGGAGCGGATTGTGCTCTGTGCAGGACACAACGGGGCCGAGTGGGACTAAGGGCATCTCCAGAAAGAGCAGATGCTCAAGAGAGATGCTCAAGATGTCCCCAACAATATAATTGGTCAGAAAACATGCCGGGGGAGATCAGCTTTACGCAAATTCATTCCATCCCCACAGCTACTCAAGCAGAAGACACTTTTGATCAAGAATATAAGTTCTGTGTCAACGTTTAAAGACATTTTTTTCCCCCTCTGAATAGATTACTGTTTCACAAAAAGTATAGATACAAACCAAGGCTGCAAGATCACAATAACACACCTTAAAAATGCAATTGAATTAAGTGAATGCTATAAAACGTCTTTTCACTTTGGGAGAATGATTAGCTTTGATAAGGAAAATTATTATCTATGCTGCCAGTCTTTTTTTTAACCAAAAAAAGGATAGAGTCAGCATCTGAGCTCATCCCACCACGCTGCCAGGCCCCAATCTGGCTGCTCTATAAATGTTCCTGGACACCCGGTGAGTAATTGCACTGACCCTTGTGCTAGATTTGGGGTCTCAAAACACTCACATCCCTCTGACAGCTCCCGGACAGCCTAAGCCTGCTCATATGCGCTCGCGTATCCCGGCTTTGCCTTAAAACCTGCAGTGGAAACTTGAAAGAGGAGAGGGAAGATGCCAAAGAGACGGGACCCACCAGCGGACAGCTCATGGTGGGGAGCCCCCAGCACATCCCATTCTTTTAGAAGAGAAATTCTTACATTTCTTTCACTATTCTGCCCTGCCAAACCCCACCAGAACTTGGGAAATCACCAAGACAAGCCATGCTGTCCCTCCTCCCTCCACAAAGCTATAACCACGGGTTTTAAAGAAATACCTTTCTGTATTACTTACTGTGAAGAAAATACTACAGAAAACACTGTAATCGGGAGAGACACCATAACCCCGGTATAACCGAAATATTCGGAAATCCTTTAGAAAAGAAAATAGGGTTTGAGTTAACTACAAACAAAACCAAATAAAATGCTGACTGATTAACATAATTTTCTTGGAGAAACTGCATAAAATACACATCCCCGTGCCTGTGGATTCAAGGCTTTTACTTCACTGGGTTCACTAGGAGGTTTTTGTAATAATCAGGTTCAGTTGGAGGGAGGATTTCAATATCGGTGTGTTTGCTGAAGAGTGTAATCGCATCAAGGCTGGAACTGCACAGAGAAGATTCCTGTGGGTCACAACCCATTCAGTGCTGCAGCTGCTTTACTCCACACACCTTCCTTTTGTGAAATGTCTTACATCAAAACAGCAAGATGAAGACTGCAAATAAGCAGAGAATCCGTAACTCTGTGAGTACTGGATACACAAATGTGCATAAGAGCAAAGTTCTGGTAAGCTGGGGAATTCCTTGGCAAGCAGCAGAAGCTCTCTCTTTCTTTTTCATGTTGCATGGCTCTTGAACCTATGAAACCTGTGCTGCGTTTTTGAAAAATTAGGAAAAAATCTTTATCATTATGGTCTTAGTTTTTGTGTTGAACAGAAATTTAAGTCAGTAAAATGGTTACTTTTTACAATTCATGAAAAAAATAAATATATTTGAAGTTAAATGAAACCTAAGTAACCTAATATGTTTATTAGAATAACCCTCATGATTATATAGTTAAAATTCCAAAATATGAGGCATTTTCAAATGCATCACTTATGCTTGACACTTCTATTTTGAGCTTTGCTTCCTTCTTAATGCCAAGTTTTCCTTCCCTCAGAAGCGAAGGGTTAAGACTGAACGGAGCGTGTCGCTGAGTTGGAAGGGAGGGTTGCATTCTGCAGGGAGGCGAGGGAAAGCACGTAGTTCATTAAATAATGTGAGTGGTAATGAGGGCTTACACAAATCAAACAGGGGGTTAGGTAATTGTACTGGTGCTTTGTGGTGAACCACCTGTCAGGAAGCACTTCCAGCCGAAGACTCAATCTGCTACGGGGCCTCCAGATGATTTCTAATTAGTGTAAACTTCATCTGTGGCATGTAACCAACATATTAAAAAGGTATCTTCTATGCTCTGGGTTTTTTTTTTTTTTTTTTTTTTTTTTTAATTTTCAGCACTCTACCTAGCACAGCAAAATGGCTTTTTCTTATGATCCTCTGGGGAAAGCTCTTTTCCTGTAAGTACTAAGAGAAACCTTCCAAAAGATTTTGAATCAAGATATAGACAGTTGCAGTCACAGTAAGTTAAAACCAACCAATCTCCCACCCCCAACAAACAAACAAGCAGCAGAATCCTGGAAAGGAGGAGGCGAAGATTCAGCTTTGTCTCCACATGTGATGTAGTTCAGATGAGTGAAATAGTGCCCAATGTGACACTGACAAGATTTTATATTTGATATTAAATGGTCAACATTAAGTACATATTATGAAAACAAATATTTTCTGTCTACAGATGAACAAATATATATATATATAATTTCTTTAGAGCAAAACATTCTGGGGCCTGTACCAAAGTTGATGGCACTGGCCAAATTCTTCCCAAATGCAGGTGATGCTTTTTGTCACTCGCTTTTTGATCACTCACTCACAAGAGTGCCTTTTAATCTCCTTAGTTGACCACCAGAGAGATACAGTGATCAACTCCTGGTATCTACACAGGGAATGGCTATGCCATAGTGCCATATGCCATGAAAAAATTCTCCCAAGTTGGAAAAAGGTTCATAACTGGAGATAGAAAACTTCAGATGAGGCAAAGTATGGATTTTCAGGAGCTACTAAACAATGGATGCTGTTATAACAGAACAGCTTAAAAGTCAATATTGGGGTTTTCTTCTCTGAAAGATTTTGCAAGATGTAAAGATGAATAAAGACAAATATTGCCTGTCTGGGACTTCAGAGGAAAGAGTTAAAATACTGGATAATAGAATTAATTGGTTAATATTTTTGTCCCCAGAAAGACAAAGCAGCTGAATGGTCCTTCCCCCACGTTTGCATATAAGCATCTGAGCAATCCTGTTAACTACTTTGTTGCAGCATAACTAGTATTTCTTATGCACTCTCGTATTTCCTTACGTTTGAGAGAGGATTAATAACTCCAGAAATCATTCAATACAACGACAATGAGATGCCATTAGCTTCCGTTTACTGAGGTCATGCAGTAATACTGCCCTTCATCTATAAAAATCTCCAATTCCCCAAATCTGCATAATCCACCTTGCTTCTGAGCACACGGACAACTAGGAATGGATAACTAGCTGAAGCATAGCAAAAGTTGTCCGAGATTATCCCTGGAAAGCAATGAAGATACGTGCGTGTCACGAGTTTCCCTGGACTGATGGGCTATATTCATTAGCTGAAGCTGCACAGAGAGTATCTTTCACTCAATTAATCTCCAAGCACGTGGACAGGGTTCTGAATCATAGCACCATCTCTCACGGCTTGGTTAGCCATAACTTTGTGCTCCACTACTGCTCACTGTCAGAGCAGGGAGAACTGAGATGAACGGCAGCCAGTCTCATTGCACTTACCTTGGAGGGCTTGTGACAACCTCTAACAGGGCCTTTCTGATTGAAGCTTGGGACAGTGAAGCTTCCCCAGCAATAACAGAAGTTGCATGCTCTGGAAAATAGTTAAATTTGATCTAAGTCAAGTTCGAAACTTCACAGAAAACATAATGTTAAATTATTTTGATGCATCAGTGCATAAGTTCCTGCATGCCCAGGCTCTTCCTTTGGGGAATTTGGCTGGATTTTGAGTGGGTGCTTTTGCCTCAGGAAATAACAAGTACATAAGAAGCTAGCACCTGTGCTATACATGAAGTGCACCGCTAGTAGCAGCGAGCAGAAGCAGAGCCCGGGTTCTTTGAGAGCGGGAATCATGAGTCAAAGGAAAAAAACACGGACTCACTGCTGCTAATCCTGAGAGAGGCAGCAAAAGCTGCCGGAGATCTCTTGAATTACAATGCTGGAGCGGTGTCGGTCTCCTCCCTCCTTCCAGCAGCCTTCCCCAGGAGCAAGCTTGATTTATACTAAGTATGCAGGTGACAGCGCAGAAAAGGAGAGTGCTGTTTGGAAATGCAGCAGAGGAAACTACAAATGAGTATGAAACAGCCATCTCAACGAGCCCACTTATCTTTCAAGAAGCAAAATGTTTGAAAAAATAAAAAATAAAAGTGCAGTAGAGTCCTCCTCCCTCTGCCTTTTATTTTCTATTAATATTTGGGAGCTAGAAAGGAATGAAGCAACAAGCTGGGGACGATGCAGCTTCACAGGAGGAGAAAGGTTAGGGTGGAGGTCCATATTATATATAATGCCTCCCGTGCTTCTGTAACACCCTAAAACAATTAATTTTGCAACCTGGACTGAGCTGCCCTGAGAAACAATATTCTTTTCCTCCAAATCTTGCACAGGGACAAATTAATTCCCATTGCATGCAATAAGTGGGAGAAAGAGCCAAGCCCCAGCTTGACAATGACTGCTGGATCAGAGGCAAGAGTTGAAGACTTGCATTAGGACCTCTCAAGCTCTGCTTTATTATGAATAGAAAGAGATGAGCCCAGCTCCTCAAGCTGCATAAATTTGCCCTGAAGCCAGTGATTTGTAATAGCTAAGTGGCTTCTGGCCTGCACTTCCACACGTACTTTATTTGGGGGCTCCTGGAATTTAGGAGTTCATTTAGGACAATTCTCACTTGCCAAAGTTGCATGGGAAAACACTTCTGAGACACTGCTTCTGAGTCAAGCGAGATTATGAGAAAATGTTATTTGAGGTGACACAGCAGGCTGTGTCAGAACCTCTCGGAGAGGGGACACAGCGCTCTTCAACACTACCATTAAGAACCTGCCTTCAACGGCACGACAACTTTGTCTCAGCCACTATTTAAGCCAATCTGCTGTTGACATTTTATGATATGATCCCCTCCCCACAAATCTGCAGTGATTCAGATATGACATTTTAAAGATATAAGACTCAAAACAAAATTAAATGTTGGTCCGATTTAGAAAATCACGCAATGTTCTCTGCACGCCGTATCTCCTAAGTGGGCTGCCCGAGCCACCACGATCACTGTTGACTTGAAAGGTCTCGGCAGGGCGTGTTGCACAGGGCAGCTCAGGGAGGGAACCAAAGCCCAGGAGATATTTCACCACGAAGTTAATCAGAAGAAGCCCTTGGTGACAGATGCAGATCTGAAAAAGGCAGCAGAAACCATGCAGGACAGGACACAAACCACAGACCAAGGTTGTCTGGCTGGACACTAGGAATCCTGATACACGTCAAGATGCCAATGCTACCTTCTGTGTGTGCTAGAACACCTTACATATATACATAAGCATCATATCCTTGAGTTTAACTGTAAAAAAAAAATAATCGTATATATTCGCTGTGGGTCAGACTTCTATCTACCTAAAACCTTCTGGAAATAATGATCCTGGGAGAAGATAATTTGCAGGTGTTCAAGAACTGAAAAGACTGCAGATTCCTGGAAATGTGATGATGATGATGATGATATGTATCTAACTGGTTTGCGTTATGTGATTTTTTTTAACCTCTTAGCATTACCTTCAGAGGAAATGTTGGGAGGTGATATGGGAAACAAAGCGGGAGTCAAGAAGAAAAGTGGATGTCAGTTGGAGTCAGAATCCAAAACAAACCAAACAGAGAAAATGAAAAACAAGGAAGTACAAGACTTCTAGAAAAACAGGTCATATATATCCTGAACTCTCATCAGATGAAAAATTACAAGTGATGCCAACACCGCGATGGAAAAACAAAAAGTACTTTGCACTTGGATGACTTGTGCTGAATTAAGAAAGCCAACATTTAAGCATCAAGTTGTGCAATAATGAAGAGACGCAAGGAAGCTTTAGAGACAATTTGGGAGTAAAGGTAAATTATGGATTTCTGAGCTTGAGGAGTTGGATCACTTCCACTCCACCTTTCTACTCTTCTCTGGCCCACAAAACAATATGTTTTGATATCTTCTTTTTGTGGCAGATTAATTTTTCTTCCAACACACTTCTACAAAAAAAAAAAAAACACTGAATTGACAGTCTGCCATTTCACAGGAATGAGAATTTCTGCTTTTCCTGACTTCTGCAGTGTTGTGATTTATTTAGGATATTTATTCTTATCTATGGAGAGCACTTTAAAAACTATACACAGTCCCTAGCCTACTTTGTCTTTATTCTGCAAGGAGAAGGTCATCTCATTCATTTACGTCAAAGATAGAGCAAAGTCACAGAAGGAAAAAAGAAACCTGTGTGTACACACAACCTTAATCTCATTCATAATCATATATCCTCTAAAACCTTTTTTCTTCATTTCTATTTTTATACTCCTAAGAGAATGACTGGGGACATACTGAATAATCTAAGTAATTCCATGCCCTTTGCTACACACATCCAAAAAAAAGTACTATTCCAAGGTAAATTAAGTAAATAGCTACTGAGGCTCACTAACATTATTAGTAAAACCACGATACAAGGAAAACAAGATTCAATTAACAGCAGTAAAATTTCATCTGAACTTAAAAAATATATATTTTTTTTGATTTGGAAAAGTCTTCCACAAAATGAGGAGTATCTAATTAAATGAAATGACACATCTCAAAGCACTAGAATATGATAGAGCTTCAGGTCGTGCTGCACAACATGTTGCACAGATTTCTGAATTATTATTTGGTATTGGGGGGTACCTCCACCACTACCAACCAAAGATATGCCAACTCATTGACTAAAGTCAACACAAGCTTTTTTTTCCTCAAGCTTTTTTAGGTTTCGGAACCAACCCTTACTATTTCATCATGCAAGCTAAGATCCTGTTTCTCTATCCTTGAGTATGTTGAAAATTCCTCTTAAAATTCATGAGGTTATTACTTCTGAAAGGCTATTTCATTAACACTGCATTACACAGACACATGTTGTGAAGGCAAAAAAAAAAAAAAAAAGAAAAAAAGAGACAAAAAAAGAGAAAAAAGAAATCCCACTAGTCTCTTATTAACAGGTTTCATCATATTATATTCAAATTATAAACTAAGATGGCTTATGAATATTTGCTTTTGAATTAAAATACCAGTTTCTCATGTGGAATGGAGTTTATGATAATTCAGAGCTTATCTTCACAGTTTGATGTCTTTGTCCTTCCTTAGATAAATAGTCTATGTATTTACACCTCACTGCTAGCTGTCCTCTGACTTATTCAGAAACTTAAATGAGTCTTCAACTAACGGGCCCCCACACATACACCCAATCAGCTCCACCTGGGGCTTTACTGTTGGTCTTGATTTTTAACACCAAATAAACCAGAAATTTTAGATGCATTTAATTGTCAAAAAAAGAAAAAAAAAAGAAAATCCTCTCTTCCTTTCCGGAAGGAAAGCAGTTATAAAAAAAGAAAAGCAAACAGTATTTGCCAATACTGTCCTACACAAAGCCACAGCTTTGACCAGTTGCCAGTTTTGACCAAGAGGAATTTTTTCTGGGAATTTGTCCACTGCAATTTGGGACAAGCCAAGAAGGGTTCCTATCCTTCCTTCTCTTTACAGCCCAAGATGACAGCAGTTCATAGTATTTTCACCACAACTTCCACTTTAATTGGAAAGAGAGGCTTGTGTTATAAAGGGAAGGCAGAAAAGTAAAGGTCTAGGAGTGCAAACTACCTCCCTGCTTAAGCATGAGAGCACAAACATCCTTTTGGGGTTGTTTTCACTCAAGTAACTCCAACAAGCCTGCTACCATCCTCACCACAGGTCAGATTTACAGCACTGGGAAATCGATTCTGCTCAGTCTCAATCTCTTGACGAGGCAGCAGCTTGTTTCCTATACGAAACCATCATATTTCCATTCATTTTCTCAGAATGGAGCGGCAAGGAATCAGCTAAGCACATTGTTTTACAAGAACTTTGATTTCCCTCCTTGTATTTTTGCTAGATGAGTGAGCCGACGCTGCTAAATGAAAGGAAGAAGCAAACCCTTTGTGCAGGAACAAAACTGCTTTTCTCCTCACTCCGAAGCTCATGCAACTGCCTCTTAATTACCAGCAGCTTAGAGACCATGATTCCTTCTTTAATCTCCATAGGTATCACGCTGCCTCTTTGATAAAACAGCCCTTTCTTCTTCATGCTTGACTGTTCCTCGTAGTACTCACCTCATAACCAACGTGATACCTCCTTTCCACACCTCGGATCGCAAAATATTGCCATTTTATAATACTTCCTAGTATCTTTTTTTTTTTCCTTTTCTGTCTCTAACATCAACTTACTGCCCCTCTGACAAAAAGAAAAAAAAAAAAAAAAAAAAACCACAGTGTTATTCCTCTCACCTTTCTCTCTCTTCAACTTTCAACCATGCTACTCCACACATAAGGTCTTCACGTTAATTCTATTTCCCTGAACACCCTTTGAGAGGGACTCCCAATTATCTGCTTAAAAGTATTCAGAGTATTCTTATCACTGCCACGTGGTCTACTGCTTACTAACAAAAGGCTAAAGGTAAAAGCCTTGTTATTTTTCTTCTGATACTGTATTTCTTTCCATTTATCGCTAGACTCAGGTAATGCAGATTTGCTCACATAAAGCAAGACAATAAAGAAATCTGGAAAGGCCACACTTCCACTTTTATTTCTGCACGGCATTTGAAATAATCCCACCTCCTCTCAGCAACACCAGGCAGCTGACAAGGGCTGGAACACAGCTCTGCAATCAAAGTGAAAAGCTAGAAGGAGCAACATGTATAGAGATTTGAGCAATTGAAACGATGGGAAGCTCTGCAGTAAAATGACTTTAATTAAAGTCATTCATGCAGATTCTCAGCCTTATAAATCTGTAAATCTGCAAAATCATTTCCCTTTCAATTAAGTTAGGATGTGTCATTTCACAGAGGTAAAAACAAGTCCCTACTGAGCAGGTTTTCCAGTGCTGCACAATTAGGAGAATACATAACAGTGCTGCAACGTGTTCACAATAGAGAAGTTCAGAGAGGCCAGGGAGGACCCAGGTTTCTAACAAGCCACATTTGCAAGTCCCATTAGTAACCGAAAGAATCCTCTTGAAACTTAGAAGTGCAGATGTATCAACTGGAGAGGTTTCAAGACCGTGTCTGTGTTATGACTAATGCCCCGAGAAGGATGCATATCACCCAACTTACGCTTCTTCTAAAATCAATGGGGAGAGAAAAAGAAAAGTTCATTTCAGAGGAACTTTTCAAACATCTAGATTATGCTCCTGGTCTGAACTACACCGAGATCCTCAGACTCACTCCCCAGCTTAGCTCCAAACTCTCCCACAGCAGACGTCCCAAAGAAAGTGAAAATTATTGAAGATGGTTAGAAAAGTAGAAAAATTTCAAAAGCAATATCCAATACTAAAAACACCAATAAATAATGTAGCTTAAGTTACAGGAAATAAAGCCAGATTTAAGTCTCACCTAATGCTTTCGTGCATCTGTCTGTAGGAGTCCCACTGCTGTGATTTTCAGCTTTGGCAACAAGTCTTTCTTCCAACAAAGCAATACAGAAGGGCAACTCCACTGCAGAAAACAATTATTTTTAGAAATGTCAATAAAATTGAAACCGAAGGAGAAAAGGGGAAGAGAGAAAAAGGTGGGCAAAAAAATAGCAGCGACTAAAACAGCTAAATAAGTATCTAGCTGCAATGGGCCACACCTGGAGCCTTTGTGCATTAGGAAGCACAGCAGCCACGAGCACCTGGAATGGAATGGGTGTCTCAGCTAACATAATGACCTAAAGAAACATAATATATTAACTTTCTAAGTGACTCTAGAAGAATTATATTTTAATGACAGATTATTCAGTTGAGCCTGGAGTCCCCAGCCTGGAAAAGAGAAGCTTGAGGGGGATTTTATGAGTGTGTAGATGGGACCCAAATGCCTAAAAAACTTGCCAGTAGGAAAAGATGACTTAGCTGAAGATGCAGTTATGCAAAGGACTGTAATGTGGAAAATATGTACAGTGTCAACAGTGAAATATTTCTTTCTGTATAACATGAATGCACATAAAAACTGGAGATGGCTGTAATAATGATATTCTTTTATTTTCCCTCTTCTTCAGAATCTTCCTATATAACCATCATGGTCAGTATATACATGAGCAGAGAAATAATTACATGCTGACTTGTAACTTCAGTATTAGTACTAGTAGACCCCAGTGCCATATTTTTACACAACAGGGGAGTTCTACCTATTCTTCATTTGTATCTGCGAACAAGTTTTGGACAACTACATTCAATATAACCTGACAGGTACCTTCTGATTCTACCCATTTGTTAGAAGATGAAAATTCTTCTTAGACTCAAAGCCCTTTCTTCACTATTTCTTCCCAGATATCTTCACTACTGCACACAACTGTGGTGGGAATAGTCGCTCCTGAAGACATATCCAAGCTAGTTTTGCTATGTCTAAATTGAACTGTTGCCAGTTAACATTTGAGTAAGGTATGACTATATTACTAGGAGTAACTTATTTTTCTCCTCAGCTGACACAGCAAGTTATAATGTGCATGAAGTTGAACTTGTGATTTCCAGTTGTTGCAGCCCAAGCAGCTCCTTACTATATATTTTCAGTGATGGGAAAGAGCTAGAGTTTATTCTTCTGTGTAAGCTCATGAAAAACTGGATGAATTCCAGTGAGAGGACTCAGGAGCTTGTACTCTTTGCAGTTAAGATTTTAAAAGCAGTTTTGTGGCAATCCTATACACTAGAAACAGCCGTTAGCATTCACAGATGCAGTTATTTGCAGTATTTTGGTGCATCAGCTGTTTTTCCAAAAGTGAACGTGAACTGAAATCAAAGTTAATGGGAAAGGTCTCCTTCTTTCCCATAGGCAAAACTCCTACTGAGCTGCACAAGAACCGAATCAGACTCATGGAGAGTTTAACATCACTGGTTTTAGCTGGAAGTAGGAATCCAATACAGCTATTTATCTGTTCACAGAAAACTCTTCTTGACCTGAGAGAAAGTTATACATTCAGAAGGAATAAAACATTGCCCCCAAAAAAAAAAAAAAAAAAAAAAAAAAAAGGTTCAAACACAGGAAAGGAATAGATATTTCACCTCATTCACCTAGAGGAGGTGGGAATGATTTGTGCAAAAGTTACAGTAATCCACAGAGAAAACTTTCTATGCTCTGAAGGAAAATTTAATAGCACAGCCTTTCAAAACTATTACTTTACTGTAACTAAGAGACATTTTTAATGATTGAAATAGGTCAGCAAGTAGAGAATTTAAAATTTAGAATTTCCTTCCCTCTTGCATATTCTCAGGTTAGAAAAATAGCTACATGACTTTATAAGGCTTTAGCTCTATTATAGGGAGCTTTGTCGGAGCTAAACAACTCAGGCACTTTTGCTGCACATAGAAGACCCATTTTAAGTCTTTTAGACTTGAAGAGAAGATTGGATGCATGACGAAGTTGTGAGCAATGTGCTAATCCTAGGTTAAGAGGCCAGGAAGCAGAGGAAGCAGTGGGGAATTTCCAAACAATTTAACTTGCAACCATTAGAAAACAAAAAGCAGCAGCATTTTTTTTCTTACCTTTAATGTGAATAAACCAAGACTAGTTTTCTGTATCCAAATGGCACAACAAAGTTTCTCCATTTGGCTCATATATCAAAGATTCATCTGCAAAAACTTGTTATTCATTGATTATTTGCATATTTGTTTGAGCAAATTTCCTCCCCACTGTGTTCCACAATCTCATTACCACCACCTGTATTCCAGTATTGCCTCTCTGTTCCCAAATAGTTTTGATGTTTCTTCACAAGTTGCTTGAAATTTCAGTATTCTGTTTTCTGTGCTTCTGTTATTTGACCAAACGATATTTCTTAAGTACATACACATATGTTATGGTAATAATTTATACTGAGCAGCTGCAGAATATAACTTGAAGCCATGAAAAAAAGATATATGAATCAAATGAGCATCTGTATATGAAAAACTTTTTTATGTCTATTGTAGTATCATATACTTTGTTTATACTACAGTACTCTAGAAGTTCACATTTCAACTAATTTTCAGCTGGCAAAAGGCAAAAATTAATACTGTCTCATCTCAAAGCATTAACTTTTTGTGGTTCAAAAATGAAGCAAATCAAGAGAAAGTTAATTAGCAAGTAAATTAAGAGAACACACCATTTGTAACCTTTGCTATTTCCACAGAGAGCAAAGATTTCAGATGGCTGCTGGTTCTTAACCCAGGCTTCTTAACCCAGGGAAGTAGGAAGAATATGGTGGGTAATATATATACTGCCATAGGTCTCCAAAAGGGCTTGGAAAAGGCTCACCTTTTTATTTGGGACTGGTAAAGCAAGGACCTGATATAGACAGAGCAATTGCATATATGTTATGTCTATCCAGAGAACTCAAGCAAACTCTGCCGTTCCAAACACAGACTGCCCCAAGTCATTCACTGTACTCTCCTAGTGATCTGCCACACGTCCTTAAGTAATTTATATATGATTCAACTTATCTACCTGAGGAGATCCTTATTTTCCTTAGAAGGCTAAAGTGATGTTACAATAACAATTCACTCACCCTTATTTTCACCTGTTTATAGAGCAGGACCTGCCCTAGGCAGCAGCAGTGCAATAACCCACTCTTGGCAAGCTAGCTCAAAATAAGCACTTGAACAATTTATTTAATCCATCTGCATCTAAAATACCTACGCTGATGCTCACGTTACTAATAAGACAACACAGTTTATCAAAGCATATGCTCTTCTTGAAAGTTTGTTTATGTATGTTCACACTTTGCGTAGACCGTTGGGTAGAGTTCATTAGCAACCCAAGATGCCAACAATTCCTCTGTGCTCACTGCGCTACACATATTTTGACAAACAATTAATCAGAACTCAGTACTGCATCTGGCTTGTATTTACAGCCAAAGAATGAATTGGGTTGAAAAAGCATCTGAAAGGATAATACTTCAACCTGATGACTTTATAGTTGGTTTTTGTTTTCCTGGAAGGAATCTGCTAACATATCATGTTTGAGAGACCCAACAGACATTGAATTTATGAGCCTTTAGGTAAACAAAACATATGGTGCTTGCTATGTTCCATCTATCTGGTAATCAGTCATTTAGCAATAAACACACGATAAAATTTGGCCAGTTTTTCAAGATCCGACAATTGAGAAGACTACGGACTTAATTATGACAAATTTTGAAAAGAAATTCCCTTTTTGGTATTGCGTTATTTTTCTTGTTTCATGAGGTTTTCATTAACTCCTGTAGCAAATGAGATGGGGAACTCTTCAAACCATAACACGCACGTCAAACATCGCAGCCTTTTCAGCATGAAATGGTGGCTTGATCTCAGATACTGAATAGCAGCAGCTCCAGGCTGATATATTTGTGATTATATTCTTTACTCGGTATCAAAAGGGTTTACTATTGCTTCACTGTTCTTTAACTAAAGCATCACAGAATAATAGATCTCTTTCCTAGGTCTCCACACTAGAAGGGTATCTGCAGGCCCCCAAAGGGGAGGAAGGTCTGCCTTAGAGCAGAAAAGGAGACCATGATTTGTGCCAAGCTTTTCCTAAGGGTTTGGATGCCTGGATGCAGCAGGGGAAGCCACGGGCCTGATCTGGGGTAAGTGCATGGGGAAGCAGAGCCGCGAAGGACAGAGCTCATTGCCTGGAGATGCCACTCGCACATTACAGTGAGACACCACGCTCCAAGATTTGATTGTGCCCTCAGTCTTCAGAGGGAAGGGATGGAGAGGGAAAAGATAACAAAACTTTGCCTTTTAGCAAAAAGATCAGCACATTTTGACTCTGCTCCAAGGCTACGTACCAAAATATCATTTGCAAAGCCCCAAGTCGAAGCCTTTCTGCTTCTAGTTAACCATCCAGATTGCCAGACTACGAGATCCACTGCTGTTTTACTCTGCTGAGACAACGAATGTTCTTTTTTTCCCGTACTGAAATGTAAAATCTTCAAAAGACAAGGCTGAGAAAACACTTCCATAAAGACTTTTATCTCATTATTACCTTGGGAGACACAACTCCCCACATTGGAGAAATCTGTTGAACAAGCTCTCCCACCAACATGCTTCCTAGATGATTAACAGCCTTCCCTAATTAACAGCCTTACTGAATTAAAACAAAACTTTCTTACTAATAGGCATTAATAAGCACAGGTGAGGACTCAGCAGCCATATAGAGCGCAGCATGCTAGGTCCAGAAGAAACTCAAAACTCTCATTAAGTAACTCTGCCCCATTCTACACATATTCCATTCTCCAAATTCCCACCAAGCTGGATTGTGCTTCCAGCTATTGCATTCTGCCAGAGCTTAGACAAGCACCAATTAGTATTTCCCCACCCAGACTGTGTTAAAAGCCCAACTACTAGAAAAACTGTTTATTTCAATTATACTCTGCCGTGTAAGATCAGTTGATGTTATTTTTTATGCAAGCACGAGTGACCAGCCATTGCTTTGTTTACATTTCTGCTTTTATTTCCAGAACAAAGATTTCCAGAAACACAGATTTTCTGATGTCAGGCTCTTTTATTACTAAGATGAAGAACACAGGGAAATTACTGAAGGCTTGACAGTCAAT